GTTCGCAGTTGCGAACATTGGCCTCCATAGCTACTCTTCGCAAGTGTGATGAGTAGGTCGCAATTGCGAACCCAACAGCGGTCGCAAATGCGAAGCTTTATCTCGCAATTACGAGACCAGAGGCTCAGCAACAAGAACTGAAGCACACCAGCAAATTTCTAAGTTCAAAACACTCCGTAGCCTATCCGAAACTCACGGGAGCCCTCGGCGCTCCAAACCAAACACGCACACAAGTCTTAAAACATCATACGAACTTGCTCGCGCGATCAAATCGCCAAAATAACATCTAGAATCATGAATTTAGCACCAAATCAAATGGAATTCTCAAGAACACTTTGAAATTTCTATTTTCTCAACCGGAAGTACGAATCACGTCAAACCAATTCCGTTTTTCATCAAATTTCACAGTCAAGCCTTAAATATTATATTGAACCAGTACCGAGCTCCGAAACCAAAATACGAACCCGATACCAACAAGATCAAACATTAAGAATTTCTTAAAATATTGAATTTTCAGACTCACAATTTTCAACAAAAATTCATAACTCGAGCTAGGGACCTCCGATTCCGATTTCGGGCATACGCGCAAGTCCCATATTTTGATACGGACCCATCGGGACTATTAACACACGTGTCCGGGTCTGTTTACCAAAAATGTTGTCCAAAGTCAACTCAAATGAAGTTTTTAATCAAAAATTCTTATTTTTATCAACTTTCAACATAAAAGCTTTCCGGAAATACGCCCGGACTGCGCACGCAAATTGAGGAAGGATAAAATGAGGTTTTTAAGGCCTCGGAACACATAATTTGGTTTTAATTCATAAGATTACCTACCGGGTCATCACATTCTCCACCTCTAAAACAACCGTTCATCCTCGAACGAACATAGAAAAGTACCTAGGCTAGTAAAAAGGTGGGGATATCTACTCCGCATGTGCCGACTCGGACTCCCAAGTCGCCTCATCAACCCGCTGACCCCGCCACTGAACCTTTACTGATGCAATGTTTTTTGATCTCAGCTTTCGAACCTGCCTGTCCAAAATAGCCACTGGCTCCTCATCATAAGATAGATCCTTGTCCAACTGGACTGAACTGAAATCCAACGTGTGAGACGGATCATCGTGATACTTCCGGAGCATAGAAATATGGAATACTGGATAAACTCCTGCTAGGTCGGGAGGTAAGGCAAGCTTATAATCAACCTCCCCAACACGCCACAACACCTCAAAGGGACCAATAAACCTTAGGCTCATCTTGCCCCTCTTTTCGAATCTCATAATGCCCTTCATAGGCGAAACCTGAAGCAAGACCCGCTCTCCAACCATAAATGAAACATCGGCGAACCTTCCAGTCCGCATAACTCTTCTGTCTGGAATGGGCTGTGCGAAGTCTATCTTGAATCACATTTACATTCTCAAAGGCATCCTGAACCAAGTCCGTGCCCAATAATCTAGCCTCTCCCGACTCGAACCAACCCACTGTGGACCGACACCGCCTACCATACAGAACCTCATACGGTGTGTCGTGCTCAACCCCACCCGAGTACCAACTCGTGCTGTACAGCTCTCCAGAATCGTAATGTAAACTGCGTGCCTCGGTCAGAGATAATAGATACCGGTACGCTAAGAAGTCTGACAATCTCACGAATATACACTCGAACCAACTACTCGGAAGAATAGGTCGTCATCACAGGAAGGAAATGAGCTGACTTGGTCAGTCTATCCATAATAATCCAAACTACATCAAACTTTTGCTGAGTCCGTGGGAGTCCAACAATGAAATCCATAGTGATCCGCTCCCATTTCCACTCCGGAATCTCTAACTTCTGATGCAACCCACCCGGTCGCTGATGCTCATACTTCACCTGCTGACAATTAGACACCGAGCAACATACTCCACTATGTCCTTCTTCATCGTACGCTACCAATAATGCTGCCTCAAGTCCTGATACATCTTCGCGGCGCCCGGATGAATAGATTACCGCGAGCTGTGAGCCTTCTGAAGAATTAAGTCACGCAAACCATCAACGTTAGGCACACATAGCCTGCCCTGCATCCTCAATGCACCATAATCCCCAATAGTGACTTCCTTAGCATTGTCGTGATGTACCGTGTCCCTAAGGACGAGCAAATGGGGGTCATCATACTGACGCTCCCTGATACGTTCATAAAGAGAAGACCGAGAGACCACACAAGCCAATACTCGACTAGGCTCAGAAATAACCAATCTCACAAGCTGGCTGGCTAAGGCCTGAACATCCAACGCCATGGGCCTCTCTGCTGCTGGTAGATAAGCTAAACTCCCCAAACACTCTGCCCGGGGACTCAAAGCGTCGGCCACCACATTGGCTTCCCCGGGTGGTACAGAATAGTGATATCATAATCCTTAAGTAGCTCTAACCACCTCCTCTGACGCAAATTAAGATCCTTCTGCTTGAACAGATGCTGCAAACTCCGGTGATCAGTATAGATCTCACAAAGGACACCGTACAAATAGTGCCTCTAAATCTTCAAGGCATGAACAATAACAGCTAACTCAAGGTCGTGGGCAGGATAGTTCTTTTCATGCACCTTCAGCTGTCTGGACGCGTAGGCAATCACCCTACGGTCTTGCATCAACACCGCGACGAGTCCAACTCGCGACGCATCACAATAAACTGTATAAGACCCCAAACCTGAAGGCAATACCAATACTGGGGCTGTAGTCAAAGCTGTCTTGCGCTTTTAAAAGCTCTCCTCACACTCCTTCTTCGGATCCAGTTTGATCCCTTCACTTTACACTGTGTAACCCAAAAATGCCTCGGAATCTAACCAGAACTCACATTTTGAGAACTTTGCATATAATTTCTTTTCTCTCAAGGTCTGAAGCATAGTCCTCAGGTGCTGCTCATGATCTTCCCGACTCTGGGAATATACCAGCATGTCATCAATAAAGATAATGACAAATGTATCAAGATAAGGCCGAAATACACTGTGCATCAAATGCATAAATGCTGCTGGGGCGTTAGTCAGCCCAAATGACATGACAAGGAACTCGTAATGACCATACCGAGTCCTGAAAGCAGTTTTCGGGATATCTGGCTCCCGAATCTTCAACTGATGATAACCTGAATGCAAATCAATCTTGGAAAACACTCGGGCACCCTGTAACTGATCAAATAGGTTATCAATACGAGGTAAAGGATACCGGTTCTTCACTATAACTTTGTTCAACTGGCGATAATCAATCCACATACGTATAGAGCCGTCCTTTTTCTTCACAAACAAGACAGGAGCACCCCAAGGTGACACACTGGGCCGAACGGAACCCTTATCAAACAATTCCTGTAACTGTTCCTTCAACTCCTTCAACTCAGGAGGGGCCATACGATAAGGAGGAATAGAGATGGGCTGAGCGCCCGGCAACAAATCAATGCCAAAAACAATATCTCTGTCGGGCGGCATGCCCGGAAGATCAGCTAAAAACACATCAGGATAATCCCTCACTACCGGGACTAAATTAACTGTAGGGGTATCAATACTGACATCTCTCACATAGGCTAGATAATCCACTAAATATATATAAATATTTAATTGTGAATCCAGTAACTATGACGGGCAATGAGTTCAATATCAGGTTCAAAACCCATAAATATTAAATTCTGTCTCTTTCTCTGGGAACATACCTGGGTACTGATGTGTTAAGATCACCAAGAAAATGAAATTGTTCAAGATTATTCTTGTTTTGATGATTTTGGATACCTTTGGAGTTTTATTGTTCTAAGTTCAAAATCACACTTTTTCTGGATATAACTATCATTTTTGAAAAGACCAATTCTTATATTCAATTATTGTTATATTTCTTCTTCTTTCTTTTCCCCCCTTTACTTGCCTAAAGTTGGCTACCTAATTTCACATTATTCCATACGTAGCAATTGGGCTTATTCATAGGATTTGGGCAAGTTCATAGCGATTTTGTATTTAAAATAGACAACTAGTGAAATTGTCTATGTTCTTAACATCCAAAAAATTAATTGAGTTGAACAAATTTCGATGAGATATTATAATTAATAATTCATTATATATAAGGTGCGAGAAATAAAAGTATTTTTCTTTTACGTAATTTTAGTTTCAAAAGAAAAATGGAATGTATAATATCATCAAGGGCTGAGCTAGCATGTGAGTTATGTATTTAGCAAAATCAGTAACTTTGGTCCGAACTCTGTAATTGTCTTGAAAAATTTATTAAATATATAAATTATTAATTTAGAACACTATAACTTAAAAGACTAAAATTTCATACCTATAATTTTTAAATTTCTGACTCCGCCTCTAAATATCATGCTTAAGTCTAATGTAGGACCATAGACATTAAATTGATTAGCTCAACTATATGATACGTGGTACAAAAAGTTTAATTTCAGTATAATAACAGAAAACTTCACGTTGACATACATGTAATAATCATTGTAATTAGAAAAAAATAGAAGTACCAAAAGGAAAAAATCAACTATTATGAGTTTGATTTGATATATATGTCTAGCAAATTGACATAATTAATATTGGGTGTCTAATAACTACCTGGCACATGCTCATGAAATACTTTTATCACTATAGCTTTTAATATTTATAACAATCGTACGTGACAAATGTGTTCGCACACATTTTGTGTTATCCTTATATTATACTTAATAAATACATATTTTTGTTTTAATTAGTCACTAAACATAGCAAATATTATGATTTGAGTTAACAACAACCCACCCCTAACATTATAAAATGCCAAACATGTCCTTAGCTACCCCACCAACACCTTTGCTTAAAAGTTGAAATCGCACACGGCTTTTTTCTACGTAGACCCCACCTTTCCCAAAACGACAACCCATCTTCCCCATAAACGACAACTACGTCTTTTTCTAACATTAATTGATTCCAACTTATTTGGCTAAGACCAGTCCAGTTGTCATTCGCTGATTCGTCACATCTCAGATTTCCTCTGTCCCTATTTAGATAACTTCGTCTGAATAAAGCAACAAAACAGCACACAAAGCTAAAACGAGTCTCCATTATTGCAATTTTAGTGAGAGAAAGTTTTTTAGAGATTAAAAAAAGTATCAAGCAACTAACCAACAACAATGGTGGCGGAGAGCTGGAGCGCGACGGCGAAGCTGTGCGACTCGTGCAAAGCGACGGCGGCGACGGTCTTCTGCAAGGCGGACATGGCGTTCCTGTGCTTATCCTGCGACTCCAAAATTCACGCGGCGAATAAGCTCGCGTCGAGACACGCGCGCGTGTGGGTATGCGAGGTGTGCGAGCACGCGCCGGCGAGCGTCACGTGCAAGGCGGATGCCGCCGCACTCTGCGTCACTTGCGACCAGGACATTCACTCGGCGAACCCGCTAGCTCGGCGCCACGAGCGGTTCCCTATAGTGCCCTTCTACGACTCTGCCTCCGCCAAGTCTCGTGGCGCAGACGAAATTAATCCTCCACATCCCGAGACCGAGGAAGAAGCGGAGGCGGAGTCGTGGCTACTACAAACGCCGAATAATAATGCGCAAGGAATTGAGTATAAATCAGCGGAATATTTGTTTAGCGATGTGGATCAGTATGTCGAAATGGATATGATAAAGGATCAGAAACCGTGTACTGATATTCAACTTCATGTTCAGGAGTATAAGGATGATTGTGTTGTGCCTCATGTACAGAACAAAAACGAGATCCATTTGCAAGGTCCAGTTGTTAATGGATACCCGACTTATGAAATGGACTTCTCTGGATCTAAACCTTTCATGTACAACTTCAGTTCTCAATCCATTAGCCAAAGTGTATGTCTCTCTTCTCCTTTTCACCTTAATTCTATACAGTACTGCACTTTAATATTTTACACAATTAAATTACTGAAAATACTATTAGATAGCTATATATGATAAATATTGATTGGAAAATTAGGAAGAAATGATCTCAAACCATAACATAATATTACTCAAAGGAAAAAAAAAAACACACACAACATAATACTATAGAGTCCTAATGAAATGGTGGATAATATTAATGATATGACAAATGGTTTAATATAACATTCATTTCTGACAGCTAAGTACTTAATTAAGACTAAAAGAGAGTAGTGAGACTTTAATTCTGCCGCCCTATTTAGTAAGAGTCTATGTTTGGTGTGATCAGTATATTTGGCTAATTTATTGAAGAAAAGAGAGGTGAAATCTTAACTATCAAATTATCGGAGGCGGATCCAGGATTTGAAGTTACTGAATTTCTTAATATAAATATAGAGTCTATGCAAGAGTTACTGGGTTCCCGGAAAGCCGTATTCAATGCTCTAGGTCCGCCCCTGCAAACTACTATTATATTTAATGCACTCTACGAGTGAATTAGTTAGTCGTGATTCTGGCAAACTTTTTTTGAGATTTTCTTGCATCTAGTGAGGAGGGATTTAAAGTTTATGGATTCAAAATGTCATTAAACTATTTGATTTATTGGTTAGGAATTAAATATTTGTATATATTTAATAGATTTATTAACATATATATATATATATATATATATATATATATATATANGACGAGAAGCATACGCAATAACTCTACCCTCCTGCATCAAAACACAACCAATCCCAACTCTCGAAGCATCGCAATATACCGTATAAGAGCCTGAAGCTGATGGCAAAACTAACACTGGGGCTGTGGTCAACGCCGTCTTCTTGAGCTTCTGAACGTCCGACTATACAAACGAGACACCCTTCTGAGTCAACTTAGTCAAGGGTGACGCAATAGAGGAAAATCCCTGAACAAACCGGCGATAATAACCTGCCAACCCTAGGAAGCTGCGAATCTCTGTGGCTGAGGTCGGTCTAGACCAACTCTGCACCGCCTCTATCTTCTTCGGGTCAACCTGAATACCCTCGCTGGACACCACATGTCCCAAGAAAGCCACTGAACCGAGCCAAAACTCACACTTGGAGAACTTTGCATAAAGCCTCTCCTCCCTTAATCTCTGCAACACAACTCGCAAATGTTGCGCGTGCTCCTCCTGACTACGCGAGTATACCAGGATATCATCAATGAACACTATGAAAAATTAATCTAGATAAGGCCGGAATACACTGTTCATCAGATGCATGAACGCTGCTGGGGCATTGGTCAGCCCGAAAGACATGACAAGAAATTCATAGTGACCGTATCTAGTCCTGAAAGCAGTCTTATGAATATCTGAATCCCTGATCTTCAGCTGGTGATAACCCGAATGGAGATCAATCTTGGAGAACACCCTCGCTCCCTGAAGCTGGTCAAACAAATCATCAATACGAGGTAGGGGATACTTGTTCTTAATTGTTACCTTGTTCAATTGCCTATAGTCGATTCACATTCTCATTGTCCCATCCCTCTTCTTCACAAACAGAACTGGTGCACCCCAAGGTGACACACTAGGCCGAATAAACCCCTTATCCAGGAGCTCCTGAAGCTGCTCCTTCAATTCTTTCAACTCTGCTGGTGCCATGCGATATGGTGGAATAGAAATGGCTGAGTGCCCGGCACCAGGTCAATACCAAAATCAATGTCCCTGTCCGGCGGCATACCCGGCAGGTCTGCAGAAAACACATCGGGAAACTCTCTCACAGCCGAAACAGACTCAATGCTAGGAGTCTCAGCTCCTACATCTCTCACGAACGCCAAATAGGAAAGACAACCCTTCCCAACCATACGCTGGGCCTTTAAGAAGGAAATAACTCTGCTAGGAATATAGTCAGTCACACCACGCCACTCGATCCGCGGTACACCCGGCATAGCCAAAGTGACTGTCTTAGCATAACAGTCTAGAATAGCATGACACGGAGATAACCAGTCCATGCCCAGGATAACATCGAAGTCTACCATGCTCAATAGCAATAAATCAACTCGGGTCTCCAGACCCCCAATAGTCACCAAACATGACCGGAATACGTGGTCTACAACAATAGTGTCGCCCACTGGAGTAGATACATGAACAGGTAAGGCAAGACACCCTCGGGATGTACCCAAATGATGAGCAAAATATGAAGACACATATGAATAGGTAGAACCGGGATCAAATAATACTGAGGCGTCTCTGTGACAGACTGAAATAATACCTGTAATGACAGCGTCTGAAGCAATGGCGTCTGTCCTGCCCAGCATAGCGTAGCAACGAGCCTGACCACCACCATATCGATCTCCACCTCTGGGACGACCCCTGGCTGCCTGATCTCCACCCTTAGCTGACTGGGCGGGTGATGAAGTAACTGGGGCAGAAGTCGAGGGCTGACCCCTCTGCTGATGCTGTCTGCTGCGAAGGCGAGGGCACTACCTCCTAAAATGACCCAACTCTCAGCACTCATAGCAGCTGTCCGGTACTGAAGATGGGGACCGGTGAAAACCTCTCGCACCGGTGTGATTAGCAGATGCACTCGGCGCAGAACAACCCTGAACTGATGGGGCATGAGATGAACTCTGAGCTGGGAGGGCGCTGAGTGAAGTCTGACCCTGCTGGGGCCCATGATGACCACGGCCTGAAGATCCCCCACGATACTCTGGACGAGCTGACTGAGCAGGCGTGAAAGAGCGACCTCTACCCTGCTGGAACTGACCTCTCGACGGAGCACCACTATAACTGCTCGATCCACGAGGCCTCTTAGCCTCCCTCTCCTCTCGCTCTCTACGGCGAACTGACTCAATCTCATGAGCAATGTCTACCACCTCCTCAAACGTAGCACCCAGTACTCTCTCTCTAGTCATCAAAATGCGGAGATGATAGTTAAGACCATCCACAAATCTCCTGATCCTCTCGCGATCTGTTGGAACCATCCAAGTAGCATGACGAGCCAGCTGGGAAAACCTCATCTCGTACTGAGTCACTGTCATGTGTCCCTGTGTCAACCACTCAAACTGCCTACGCAGCTCCTCCCTGTGGGATTGAGGTATATACTTCTCCAGAAAAAGAGCGGAGAAATGCTGCCAAGTCAGAGGTGCTGCACCGGCAGGCCTACGCCTCTCAAAGTCCTCCCACCAAGTAAGAGCAGCCCCCGTGAACTGAAATGTAGTAAATGCCACACGACTCGACTCGAGGATCCCTGCCGTACGGAGCATATGCTGGCATCTGTCAAGAAAACTCTGGGCATCCTCGCCCTCAGCACCACCGAATGTCGGAGGCTGGAGTCTACCAAACCTCTCGAGACGATGCTGCTCATCGTCTGGCATAGCTGGAGCTACAAAACCCTGAACTGGAGGTGCCTCTGGTGTCTGTAGCCCCTGCACTCCCTGCACTCCCTGCGCAGGTGTGCGGGCATCGGGGGTCTGATTGCCTCCCCCGGTATGTGAAGTAGCTGCTGCTGCTGTGGTGGCTAAAACTGCCTGAGCCAAGCCAGTACAGACCATCAAGATCTGTGCCAAGGTCTCCTGAAGACCCGGAATCACAATAGGCACAGCTGGTGCCTGAGCAGGTGTTGCTGGAGTCTCCACCGCTGGAGCCTGATCCTGAGCTGGGGCAGTTATCGGATTAGCAGGTACTGCCCCGGCTACTCTACCCCTGCCACGACCACGACCTCGTCCACGGCATCTGCGGCCTCAGTAGGTGGCACTGGTGGTCGTCCGACGCGTTCAGTAGCTCGCGTTCTCACCATCTGTGAGAGAGTAGAAATAATAAAGATTTAGTTCACAGTTCAACAAAGCCGCACGACAAGAGTTTCAAGAATATGAAATATTTCCTAAAGGTTCTGAAGCCTCTCGAGGATAAGTACAGACGTCTCCGTACCGATCCACGAGACTCTACTAAACCGGCTCATGACTCGCGAGACCAAGTAACCTAGGCTCTAATACCACCTTATCACGACCCAACCCCGGTCATGATAGCGCCCAACACACTGCTAGGCAAGCCCGACCATTTAGACAACCTTGACCGATTAATCATAGAGGATAAATAAAGATTCACAACTAAAATACCAAATTAAATGCGAAATTTTTGAAACAATTTCTAACATTCGAAACCCCAAAATAAAATAAAATACTAATCAGCCCACAGAATCTGGTGTCACGAACATGAGCCTCTAATATAGAATATTCACCTATCACAAGTATGTCTAGGAAGAATGCGAAATAAAGGATAAAGATAGATGGGAGAGATAAGGCTGCGAACGCCCTGCAGCTACCTCGATACTCCCGGATACTGCTGCTCAGCTAAACAAATCCTCACTCACCCTGTGGTGTACCTGGATCTGCACACAAGGTGCAGGGAGTATTGTGAGTACTTCCAACCCAGAAAGTAATAAATATAAATAAAGTCTGAGGATAAGAAATCCCAAATAACACAAGGTAAAGCTATAAATACGGTAAAACAGCGAAGACAATTATAATAATACCACTACAGATAAAGAATAAATGACAATTAAAATATGCAGTGCAACACATAAACCGGTACTCTCCAGTACCCCGCTGCGGCGTGCAGCCCGCTCCATTTATTTAACATCGACGGCGCTCACTGGGGGTGTGCAGTCTCCGGGAGCGGTCCCTTACGGCCCAAGCGCAATAATAAGCCATATCGTGGCATCAAACAGGCCCTCGACCTCATATCAATACCAATATCATACCACTGCGGCGTGCATTCCGATCCCATACTCAGTCCCAAATCACATAAGCCTTTCAGCACAATAATGTAAAAATATTCAGCCCAAACTTCATTTAAAAATATTACTTTAGTTTCTACTTTTAGAAAAATGGCTAAGTTTACAAAAGCAGTGTTAAATACCAGGACTGAGTGCAATATCTAGAAATATGATAAGAAACCAGTAAAAATAATCTGTGAAAGATTCAAGTAGTTGGCATGAAGCCCAATTATGATAATTAATCCATTTTTATAAGGATATCACAAAAACTACAATCAATTAGGTAGTAATTTTATTAAGCGGGACGGACCAAGTCACAATCTCCGACGGTGCTCTACCCCACGCCCGTTATCCGGCGTACAAGTCACCTCACATAGCACTACATTGTGCAAATTCGGGGTTTCAAACCCTCAACACAGCATTTACATTTATTACTAACCTCAAGCTAGCCAAAGCCCTAGCTTGCTATGCCCTTGCCTTTCGATTTAACCTCCTCGTGCGTCGAATCTGACCAAAACCACAACGAATACATCACAATATGCTAATGAGACAATACCCAATCGAAAACAATCGAAAAATAGTGAAATTCCCGAAATTAGCAACAACCCGAGCCCCGGGCCCACTTCTCGAAAATTAGTAAATTTACCATCAACGGATTCCTTATTTCGCCACGAGTCTATACATATAAAGAACACCAAAATCGGAGTCCAAATGACCCCTCAAATTCCTATTTTTGTTCTCTTAGGTTTCAAGCCCTAAGCCACCATTTTTGACCTTAATTCCTTGAGTTTTCAGTCCAATTTCATGTATTTGCATGAAAAAATCATGTTCTAAGTCCAAGG